GCTCTCCAATACACAGACGCCCTCCTCTTTGCTCTCCCTCTCTTGCCCTAGCCCTGCAACACACAACTACTCTTCTCAATTTTCTGTCAGGATGAAGTTATAGGGTCTCTCCCTCCAAAGCTCAGAGAGCTTCACCAAAAGTCAAATATCTAAGACTCACCCTCCCTCCCACCATTTGTGCAGTCACTGCTGACCACGAAGCCCTCCTTTGTGAGCACCAGGTGCCACCACAAGACAGCAAGTTCTCTTCTTCCTCGGTTTGGCTAATTTCTTCTGCCTATGGGTTCCCAACTTTGCCTCTCTGGCACAGCCCCTCTATAAAGCATCAAAATGTTCCTTGTTAGAGCCCCTTGATCCCGCCACTCCTATACATTCCTCCTTTCACAAGCGACACAATACAGTGGGTGTTTTAGGACATAAGAAGGGACCATCCCTTCAGGCAGTAGCCTACCTTTCTAAAGGACTAGGCAACAGAGCCGGTGGGTAGACCCCGTGTCTCTGCACACGTGGGACAGCTGCCACACTGGCACAAGAGCAAACAGGTCCACTGTAGGACAATGTGTCACAGCCCACTCCCCCATCCCCTTAGTGAGCTCCTCACACACGAAGCTCTTCCAGCTCTGACGGCGCCTTCTCCCACACAACAGATCCATCTAATATTCACAGAGGACCCTTCCGTTACTACTTCCACCTGGAGCCCTCTCAATCCCGCCTCCTTGTTCTCTCCTTCTGATGAGGCCCCTCAATACAGCTGTGTTGAGGTCCTACCGGTGACCCCAACTCCTTTTCCTCACATTGACACCGAAAACTAAAAATTGACGCTCCTCCTCTTCAACATGGGCATGGTGAAATGACACATTCAGGCCCGGGACCCCTGCTCCTCCTCCTCCTGGGTCCTGGAATCATGACGGTATGTACTCCTCCTCCGGGAGGCAGGCGGGAGGTGGGAGGCGGGAGCAGGAGGTGGGAGGCGGGAGCAGCAGGCACGGGAGCGGGAGGCACGGGAGCGGGAGGTGGGAGGCGGGAGGCGGGAGCGGGAGGCGGGAGCGGGAGGC